AGGACTTGTGTTTAATTACTGACTCTCTTTTTGGATTACAGAAGTTAAAATCTTTTAGATTTTGTCTTTAGTTAGATTTAAACCATTAACTTAGATTGTAAAATAAATTTTTACTTAATAAAATAATTTTTTCAAATTAAAAAAAATCAAATTGGTTAGTTAGTTAGTTAGAACAAAGAAAAATAAAAATTTGTACAGACAGTATAATAGCAATTGTAGGTCTTAAAAAAGTAAAAGAAAACCAATCTAATAAGCAATAACTAAAAAAAGAATTACAATCTATTAAAGAATATTAAAAATATTATAGAATTAAAAAATTTAAAAATAGATTTAGTTAAAGTTAAAGATTATAATAATAATAAATAGAATAATAGAGTAAATAGTTAGGCAAAAAAAGAAGCTAAGATAAATAGTTTAGATAAAATAGTAGAAAAGACTTTTTAAGTAACTAATATTTTAATTTATTAGAAAAAAAAATTATAAAAAATTCTATAAGAAAATTTATTAAGAAAATTTAGATTTTTAAAAAAAAATTGAATAAGATTTTTTATTAACAATTAAAAAGATAAAGCTAAATAAAAAAAAGTATTTAATTAGACATATTTATAAAAAAAAAATTAAAGACCAAAACAAAAGCAAATACATAAGTTAAAAAAAGAATACACAAATAAGAACTTTAATTAAATATTTAAATAAATTATCATTATTAAAATCTCTAATATAATAAAGATTAGATCTTTACAAAAATCTATTTTGCATACTTTGTAACAAAGAAGAAAAAAAAAATCAAGAATATTTAATAATATGCAAGTATTATAAGAACAACTAATAAAAATAAATAATTTTTTGATTAATTTTATATAAGCTAATTTTCAAGTAAAATTTAAACAATTACAAATAAAAGACAATTTTAAAAAATTTTTTAATAAATAAACAAGTAAGTAAAAAAAACAAAAATAAAAATAGTTGAATATTTAGTTCAAGAAAAAATAATTAAACAAATATAAAATATATTAAAGTCATTTAAAAAAACAAAAAAAATTTTAAATATAGTAATTAATATAGTATGAAATAAGTTTTATAAAAACATATATAAAAAAAAATATAAAGTTATTATTAAATAAGAAAAACTAATAAGTATTAATTAAGTGTCAAATCAAAAAAATTAGTAAAAGAATATATAACTAAACAGAAAGTATAATTAAAATAAAAACACTAAAAAGATTAAAAAGACAAAAGAGATAAAAAATAATAAAATAAAAAAAATGTAGTTTAATTTAATAAAAATTAGATAAAAAATAAAATAAGACCATTTTTATAGTCTTTTAGGCTAGTTTGATACAACCTTCAAATCCAGATATTATTTCAATCAATATAACAAACTGTTTCTAGACACTTATTAAAACAACTGTAATATATTAAACTAGTAAAAAAAAAAACCAATTTAAAAAAATAAAAACCAGTATAAGTTAGAACAAAATTACATAAGATTTGTTGTGTTACACAAATATGCAAATGGAGAAGATGAAACATTCAAACTTATCTTTTTAATATTCATATTGTGAATAAATCAAAAACAATACTTTGAAAGCATTTTAAAAACATAACTTTTGCATAATAACTAGAAAAACAGAAACCGGAGCGAAATCACATGAGATTTGTTGTGTTACACGAATATGCAAGTGAGACAAACGGAAAATTCGAAGTTACATTTTTGATATTTTTATTATGAATGCATCAATAATGATATTTTGATGCATCAAAAACGTAACTTTTGTATCACTTTGCTTAGAAATTGAGCGTCCTCCGCTATGCTCCGGACAATCAAGCATCCTACACTACGCTCCGGACAATTATAAGTCTGTCTCTTCGCTTCAGACAATTCGCTCCAGACAATAATACCCATATTTTTTTTTATTAGCGGGATAACTAAGCATTAATTAGTTGATTTAGAAATAAATATTGATTTCTAAAATTTTAATTGGTAATAGAGCTTAGGTGCGAGAATACCCCCTTTACCTTATATCAAGAGTTCACTATAACGAGAATCACTTTTATATAAGTTATAAAATAAAATTTTTCATAAAACATTTATTGAGTTTACTCAATAAGACAAAATTCTTGAAATAATTATATATGGGTCTTCGTAATACAAAACATATCTCAATACAAATCAGTTTTCTTTGCATAATTCTTTTTTGAGTTAATCCCGTGCTTGCTATCGATGGAATCACCTCTATCGCTATGGAAAAATTCGTAATACATTTCATGTTGTTGCCATTGTACTTCGATTGCGAAACCATGATTGTAATATCAAGTTTTAGTCCAGTTGGATATTCAGGTATTTTTTAAAAAAACTGGTTTACGATTCTCAAATGGTAGGCTAATGCGCAGCATTATGTGTCCGACATGCCTTACGAGATGGTGAAATTAAATCATGATTTCGCAAATGATACCGTATCTCGCACGAGATAAACCATTTGATTAATGAAAAATTTTAAAGTGAATTCTTATATGATGCTTTACATAAACGGCGTGTGAAACCAAATTTACCTTTTTGATTTTTTCTATCTCGTGTAACATAAATAAGTATCAAAATCGGGAACTATTGATGCATCCGAAACTAAACACTAACTCGCCCATTAAGAGTTTTTCGCTACGCTCTAGACGATTAGAGTCTTGAAAATTTAAAAATTATATAAAGGTAGCGATAGTAGCACAGAAGTTGTATGTATTAAAACAGCATATTGTTATAGTGTCGGGTATTTAGAATTTTCCGGCGAATGATCAGGATTGACAAAGCATAGACTTGTAACACGTGGTGGTACGAAAACCAAATCGAATAATAATAAAAGGTCGAAAATAACAATTTACAATTTTTAATAAAAAACGATTGAAGTCAAATGTTTCAGAATCGCGGAAGAAATTGGTCAGATGGTCATGGAATAACCATAAAGGAAGAAGAGTAACATCGGATGTGTTGATAAACATACATTAATCAGACAAGAATCACCGATTCAAATAAGATCGCTTGTACGTAAAACACCAAGACAGTATTTTCAACCAAATTTGTTTTTAAAAAAAACGCGGGGATGATGTTTGTTTATAAATACGTAATCTGCCTCCGTTTTTCTCCGGTGAAGGTTAATTGACATTTATCTACTGTATCTACTGTATCTTATCTGGCCGTATAGGTAGTTGAACGAAATGTTTATGTTTCACACGATAACTTTTTTTTTATTGTGTACCTCATCTAGAACCGATAGTTATCTATCATAAAGTTGATTTATTACCTCAATTAGAAGAATTATTATCTTTATCACAAGAAAGAAAAAAGGCAGAATAAATGATCAACAACTTATTTAATCAAAAAAAGAAATTAAGTTTTGGTCGCGTGGTTTTTAGATTGATAAAATTGAATGAGATCTTGAGGAACCTAACGGTGATACAGATATTGTCATGTTGTAGTTGCATTTTGGATCCAAAACCAAATTAGAATTGAGTTATGTAATGATATCCAAATATTCGGGGATCCGGTGGCACTCAATTTGTTATCGGCCAAATCTTTAAGAAATATTAAATAGAACATAATTTTATCACCAAGTTACGACAATTACGAAAATTACAATTACGAAAATTATATAATTACGAAATTTAAGGCAATTGCGGCAGTTTAGCAATTACGGAGATTACGACATTACGGCGATTACGAAGTTAGATAATGCACGCACTTCACCAATAAAGGAAGATCTAATCTTAGATATGTCGATTTTTAAAATTTGAAATTCAAATAAATTCAATATTAAATTCGTGACAAAACACGTGAATACGCACATATTTTATTAAATTAAGTGAATTTTGACATAACGATAATTTACATAAATTTACATAATTTAGATTCCCTTAATATGATATGATACGTATTATATGATATTATATGATATTATATGATATGATACGTATTATATGATATTATATGATATTATATGATATTATATGATATTATATGATATTATATGATATTATATGATATTATATGATATTATGTTATTATATGTTATTATATGATGTAATATATCAATTACATTAATACATTTATATTTAGTATTAAGTACTTTACTCACATTACATATTATATATATTACAGTATTATAATATCTACTATATTCATATATATACCTACTATATTCATGTATATATCTACTACATATCGATATATCTCTATCGCTACACGTATAGTGAAAATTATTAATAACGGTTTCCACCGAATATCGACATTCCTGTTTCATCCGATTTTATCATAATCCGTATCGTATCACATCTGAAAAACAATAAAATTTTGATATGTTTGATAATGCTATAACGATAAATAAATAAATCATCAAAATTCTTTTATTGTATACTGATACAATTGATCAGATGACTCTTTTCACGTGATGATTCCATAGCTTTATTAGCGGCCATCTCCAACATTATTTCCGAAGATTGTCGTTATCAATCATCAATCAACGAAAATGTTACATTTTTTAATCTTGTGGAAAAAAAAAAGTTTATCTGAGAAATCAATAAATATGGCTCCATTCTACTTTTTTTTTGATTTAAGGTACCTCTGTTTTCTTGAAATTCTTGAATTCTTGGAATTTCGTCAAGAATTAAAATAAAAAATAATTATAGATTGTATCATCAATTAATTTACTTGTCTTACGCGCATAGACAATATATATTAATTCCCTTGTCAATTGATAATAATCTAGATTCATTTCTTTGTAAAGTTGCTAATAATTTGTGAAAATATTTGTATATATATACATATTCATATATATATATATTTATACGATAAGTGTGCTCCTACTTAAATTTTATAGATATATAAGTAAGCTTCCTTTTTTTCTTAATTTTTACTCTTGTCAAATTCTTGTTTCCATCTTTAACCACTCTCTGTCACTATCAAGAACGTCTATTTCAATTAATTTTCTATAATCTGGTCTTTATAATTAATTATGGTATCTATTGTCGAATCTGTACATCATATTAATCAACAAAACGATCAATCGGCGTATAATAGTCAAAAAGATTTCTTATTTCTTGATTCTAATAACACCTCTTGGGCCGATGCCCTTCCTCCAAAACAAGGTCTTTATGATCCCGATTATGAAAAAGATTCTTGTGGTGTCGGTTTCATCGTTCACATCAGAGGCGCTCCCTCTCATAAAATCCTTAGTGATGCCAGAGATGTTCTCTGTAACATGACTCATAGAGGCGCTGTAGGTTCTGATGCTAGAGATGGTGATGGCGCTGGTGTCATGACTGGAATTCCCCACGAGTTTTTCCATCAGGAAACTACTAGATTGGGTATCCATTTACCTCCTCAAGGTCAATACGCTGTTGGTAACGTGTTCTTTAAACCTGAACATGCTGTTACCGAAGAATGTAAACTGATTTTTGAACAAACCGCAAAAAGTTTAAACTTAAAAGTTTTGGGTTGGCGTGAAGTCCCAAAAAATGATTCTATTCTCGGTCCCGCTGCAAAATCTCGTGAACCGATCATTTTACAACCTTTCGTTACCTTGGCGAGTTATGATTCTAATACTTCTTCAAATAATCTTTTAAATGATATTAAATTTGAAGAAGCTTATTTTTCTCGTCAACTTTATCTTCTTCGCAAGCAAACTACCCATATTATTACTGTCAAAAAATGGTTTTACATTTGTTCCCTTTCTAACAAAAATATTATTTATAAGGGTCAATTGGCTCCCGTTCAAGTCTACAATTATTTTCACGATTTGAATAATGTAGCTTATAAAACCCATTTTGCTTTGGTTCATTCTCGTTTCTCTACAAATACTTTTCCTTCTTGGGATCGTGCTCAACCTATGCGTTGGTGTGCTCATAATGGTATTTATTTTTCCCGTTTAGATACTCCTAAAGATGTTGCCCAAAATTTTCCGTGCCTGTATATATATATACATATATATATATATTATTTGTTTATAATATTGTTATTTTTATATGTAGAAATTTGGTTAAACTACTACTAGTTTATCCAGGTTTTGGGTGGTATCTTTATAATGTAATATAATATATTTGGTGGATGTATATGTGTTATACACACATATATGCACATATATATTTATAACATATATATACACATATATATATACATATATATATACATATATATATTTACATATATTTTTATCTTTTAATATTAAATTTGTAAATAATTCAATTTTAATTATAGGTGAAATAAATACTTTGAGAGGAAACAAAAATTGGATGCGTGCTCGTGAAGGAATCATGAAATCCAATTACTTTGGTCAAGACCTCGATTTATTATATCCAATTATAGAAGAAGGTGGTTCCGATTCAGCTGCCTTTGATAATGTACTTGAATTACTCGTCATTAATGGTGTAGTTACTCTTCCTGAAGCTGTTATGATGATGATTCCTGAGGCTTGGCAAAATAATTTTGCTATGGAGCCTGAAAAACGTGCTTTCTACCAATGGGCTGCTTGTCTTATGGAACCTTGGGATGGCCCTGCTTTATTTACCTTCTCTGATGGTCGTTATTGTGGTGCTAGTTTGGACCGTAATGGTCTTCGTCCTTGTCGTTTTTATATTACCACTGATGACTTAATGATTTGTGCTTCTGAAGTTGGTACTATTAGTATTGAACCTGAACGTATTGTTAAAAAAGGTCGTTTACAACCTGGAAAAATGTTATTAGTTGATACTGAAGAAGGTCGTGTTGTAGATGATAAAGAATTAAAAATATCCGTAGCTTCTAAAGCAAATTTCCGTTCTTGGATAGATAAATATATGATTACTCTTGATCATGTAATTGATAAAATAAAATATACTGGTAATGGGATTTCTGTTGAATTAGATGATACTTCGGTGTCTGAGGATCCAAGATTACACGCTTTCGGTTATACCATTGAACAATTAAATCTTTTAGTTTTGCCCATGGTAATTTATATTCTTATTTATGAAATATTTTATTATTATTATTATTATTATTATTATTATTATTATTATTACCATCATTATTATTATTATTATTATTACCATTATTATTATTGCCATCATTATTATTACTATCATTATTACCATCATTATTATTATTAGTATTACTATCATTATTATTATTATTATTACCATCATTATTATAATTATCATCATCCTTATTATTAGTATTCATTATTATTTATTATTAATATTTATTATTATTATTATTTATTATTATTATTTATTATTATTATTATTATTATTATTATTATTATTGCAATTATTAACTCTAAATTCACATTCAATTTTTTAGTTAAATGATGGCAAAGAAGCACTAGGTTCTATGGGCAATGATGCACCTTTGGCTTGTTTATCTGATCAACCACGTTTAATTTATGATTATTTTCGCCAACTATTCGCTCAAGTAACAAATCCACCAATAGATCCTATTCGTGAAGAGATTGTCATGTCTCTTGAATGTTATGTTGGTCCAGAAGGCAATATTTTAGAAATCAATGAACAACAAACTTGTAGACTTGCTTTATCATCTCCTATACTTTCAATTGATGAATTAAATGCGATCAAACGTATGGATCGTGTTCAACCGGATTGGGCTGTTACTACAATTGATATTACTTTCCCAAAACAAGAAGGTATTCCTGGTTATCTTCTTGCTTTAGAACGTGTTTGTTCTGAAGTCTCTCAGGCTATTACAGACGGATTCAAAGTTGTTGTTCTTTCCGATGCTGCCGTAAATGCCGAACGTATCGCAATATCTTCATTAATTGCCGTTGGTGGTGTTCATCATCACCTTGTTAGAATTAGGCAACGTTCAAAGATTGCCCTCATCGTTGAAACTGCTGAAGCACGTGAAGTTCATCACATTTGTGTCTTATTAGGTTATGGTGCTGATGCTATTTGTCCTTATCTTGTCATGGAAGCTATTTTAAAACTTAAACGTGAAAATGCTATCAAGAGTGATTTATCTTCAGAGAAAATTATTTATAATTATAAGAAGGCTATAAATAATGGTATCCTTAAAGTCATGTCAAAAATGGGCATATCAACTTTGCAGAGTTATAAGGGTGCTCAAATTTTTGAAGCTCTCGGTCTAGATGAAAGCGTCATTGCCCGTTGTTTTGCCGGAACTTCTAGCAGAATAAAAGGTATTTATATATATATATATATATATATACACAAAACAACACAATACAACACAACTCATGTATATATATATAAATATTTACTATACTGTCAAACGACGGATGGTAACATCAATATTATATTATTTGTATAGGAACTACATTTGATATTCTGGCGTTGGACGCAATTACTTTCCATGAACAAGGTTACCCTACACGTGATACAATTATCCCTCAAGGTCTACCAGAATCTGGTGAATATCATTGGAGAGATGGTGGTGAGCCTCATATTAATGATCCGGTTGGTATCGCTAATCTTCAAGATGCAGTACGTTTAAAAAATCAATCGGCTTATGATGCTTATGCTCGTAACGCTTATGAAAAAATAAAAAGTTGTACTTTACGTGGACTTTTGGACTTTGATTTTGATAATTCAAAAGCAATTCCATTAGATCAAGTTGAATCTTGGACTGAAATTGTTAAAAGGTTTTGTACTGGAGCAATGTCATATGGATCGATATCCAAAGAAGCTCATTCTACTCTAGCTTTAGCTATGAATAGTCTGGGCGGTAAATCAAATACTGGTGAAGGTGGTGAAGATCCTGAACGTTCAATCCCTTTACCAAACGGTGGTTCTTTACGTTCTGCGATTAAACAAGTCGCTTCTGGACGTTTCGGTGTCACTTCTTATTACCTTTCTGATTCTGATGAATTACAAATTAAAATGGCTCAAGGTGCAAAACCTGGTGAAGGTGATTATTTAGATTTATATAGTAAAATGTTTATATTTGCAAAACTATTGTATATTATATATATATTTATTTATATAAATATATATATACATATATATATACTTTTTAGTTTGACATTTAATATAATATTACTTTTTGAATTTTTTAGGTGGTGAATTGCCAGGACATAAAGTTTCTGATGCTATAGGGAAAACAAGAAAATCCACACCTGGTGTTGGTTTAATTAGTCCACCTCCTCATCATGACATTTATTCTATTGAAGATTTAAAACAACTGATTTACGACCTTAAATGTTCAAATCCTCGTTCTCGTGTATCTGTTAAATTAGTATCCGAAGTTGGTGTCGGTATTGTAGCTTCTGGTGTTGCAAAAGCTAAAGCAGATCATATCTTAATTTCTGGTCATGATGGTGGTACTGGCGCTTCTCGATGGACAAGTATTAAATATGCCGGTTTACCTTGGGAATTGGGTCTTGCAGAAACTCATCAAACCCTTGTGTTAAATGACCTTCGTGGTCGTGTCATTGTCCAAACTGATGGACAAATTCGAACCGGACGTGATGTGGCAATTGCTTGTTTATTGGGTGCTGAAGAGTGGGGATTTGCAACCACTCCATTAATTGCTTTAGGTTGTATCATGATGCGCAAATGTCATTTGAACACTTGTCCAGTTGGTATTGCTACTCAAGATCCCGAACTTCGTAAGAAATTTGATGGTCAACCTGAACATGTAATAAATTTCTTTTATTATATTGCTGAGGAATGTCGTCAAATTATGGCAAAACTTGGTTTCCGAAAAATTAACGATATGGTTGGTCGTACTGATAAGCTTAAAGTTAATGAATCTTTACGTAACGCTAAGACAGCAAATATCGACCTTACTCCAATTTTAACACCAGCATTCACCTTACGACCTGGAGTTGCTACTCATAATGTTCTAAAACAAGATCATAAACTTTATATTAGATTAGATAATAAACTCATTGATGAATCAGAACCTGCTTTGACAAAAAAACATAAAGTTGAAATTGATTGCGGAATTCTTAACACTGATCGTGCACTTGGTACTACATTATCCAATCACATCTCTAAAAGATTTGGTGAACATGGTTTATCCGATGGTACTATTCATGTAAAAATTAAAGGTTCCGCAGGTCAATCATTTGGTGCCTTCTTGGCTTCTGGTGTTACTTTGGAATTGGAAGGTGATGCAAATGATTATGTGGGTAAAGGTCTTTCTGGTGGTCGTATTATAGTTTATCCTCCCAAAGTTTCTACTTTTAAATCCGAAGAAAATATTATTGTTGGAAATGTTTGTTTGTACGGTGCAACTTCTGGTAAAGCTTTCTTCAGAGGAATTGCTGCTGAACGTTTCTGTGTACGTAATTCTGGTGCCATTGCAGTTGTTGAAGGAGTAGGTGATCATGGTTGTGAGTACATGACCGGTGGTCGTGTTGTAGTATTAGGTTCAACAGGACGTAATTTTGCTGCTGGTATGAGTGGAGGTATAGCTTATGTTTTAGATATGTTACAAGATTTTAAAACTAGATGTAATACGGAAATGGTTGATCTAGAAACAGTAAATGACCCAGAAGAAGTTTCATTCTTACGTGGTTTAATAGAAGATTATCGTCATTATACTAAATCAGAAATAGCTGATCGAGTACTGAAAAACTTTAATCAAGTACTTCCACGCTTTGTTAAAGTTATACCAGTGGATTATAAAGCTGTTTTAGAGAAACAAAAACGATTAGCCGAAGAAGCTCAAAAGGAAAAGGAACAACCACCATTATCCCAAATTTCTGTAAAAGAAATTGAACCATCTGTTGTAGATATTGAAGATTCCATGGTTGATGAAGAAGCAGCAAAAAAGAGATCTGAAATACTTGATAAAGTTCGTGGATTCATGAAATACAAACGAAAGGTTGATAATTACCGAAATCCTCTTAAACGTATCAAGGATTGGAAAGAAATTAATGCTCGATTGAGCGATTCACAACTTAAAGTACAAGCTGCTCGTTGTATGGATTGTGGTGTTCCATTTTGTCAATCTGATAGTGGTTGTCCGATCGGGAATATTATTCCAAAATGGAATGATCTTGTATTCAAAAATCAATGGCTTGATGCTCTAAATAGGTTAATGATGACGAACAATTTTCCTGAATTTACAGGTCGAGTGTGCCCAGCTCCTTGTGAAGGTGCATGTGTCTTGGGAATAAATGAATTACCTGTTAGCATTAAGTCTATTGAATGTGCTATTATTGACAAAGGATTTGAAATGGGTTGGATAGTTCCTAACCCACCAGCTATTCGTACCGGAAAAAAAGTTGCTATTATCGGATCAGGTCCAGCTGGTCTTTCAGCTGCGGATCAATTAAATAAAGCTGGCCATACTGTTACTATTTATGATCGTAATGACAGATTTGGTGGACTATTAATGTATGGTATTCCTAATATGAAACTTGACAAAAAAACAGTACAACGAAGAATTGATCTTTTGGCACAAGAAGGAATTAAATTTGTAGCAAATGCCCACGTTGGAGTAGATGTTGATGCAGCAAAAATTCGGCTAGAAAATGATGCATTAATAGTAGCTACCGGAGCTACTTGGCCAAGAGATTTACCTATACCGAATAGGAATTTGGATGGTATTTACTTTGCTATGGAATATTTACAACTTAATACACAAAGTCTTTTGGATTCAAATCTTCAGAATGGCAAATATATTGATGCAAAAGATAAACATGGTAAAAAAGTTATTTGGTTTTCTGATAAATTTATAAAGTCAAGCTATATTCAATATTCTAATCATGGTTTTCTTTAATTAGTTATTGTTATTGGTGGTGGTGACACTGGATGTGACTGTATTGGTAATTATTTTAAGTGATTTTTTTTTATTATTAAAATTTCCCGTATACTTAATAAATTTATTTCCTAATTCCATTTTTAATACATGATTCCTTTAGGTACTGCTATGCGTCACGGTTAGTATTTATTTCGAACTTCTTCATGGTTAAAAATTTCAGCATATCTGTATTCATTGAATTATTGTTTTTTTTTTTTTTAGGTGCAAAGTCTATTGTAAACTTTGAACTCTTACCCGAACCACCGGCAAAAAGGTATTGGATTTTTTTCTCATTATATAGATGTATAAAACTTTCAAATTTTAACTGGTTGCTTTAAATTTTAAAAGGGCTATTGATAATCCTTGGCCACAATTTCCACGAGTGTTTAAGGTAAAGTTCGTTATAATTATGTTATAATTAATTTTGTAGCCTTGTAGAAATAATAATTTTTTTCGATAATTTAGGTTGATTATGGACATGCCGAGGTCCAAATGCAATCTGGAAAAGACCCACGCGAATACTGGTACATATACATATTTATTTAGTTATATTTGTATTCATTTAAATGTGAAATTTTAACAATTTAATTCTTATATTTTAGCGTACTATCTAAGGAGTTTGTGTCAGATGGCAACGGGAAAGTAAAAGGTACATTGTATTATCTTTTATAGAGAATATCTGACTATAATATTGTTGATGTTAGTATTTATGCGTATGTTGTATATTTTAATAGGTATAAATACGATACGAGTAGATTGGTCAAAAGACGGGTCAGGACGCTGGATAATGAAAGAAATACCGGGAACTGAGCAATTTTTCCAGGCAGATTTAGTATTTTTATCCATGGGTTTCCTCGGGCCAGAAGATAAATTGCTTAATAGTTTAGGATTAAAAATCGATCAGCGAAAAAACATTGAGACTCCAAAAGGCCGTTATTCGACTGCAGTTCCTGGAGTTTTCGCAGCAGGTGATTGTCGACGAGGACAAAGTTTAATAGTGTGGGGAATTAACGAAGGGCGACAAGCAGCACGTGAAGTTGACCAATATTTAATGGGTAATACGATACTACCCGTATCAGGAGGAATTAAACAGCGTACTATTGAGTCTTTGAAACAGATGACGAATTCTGGCTTGGTTAAATTGGCTAGTTAAATTTGCAATATTAGGAACTTTCATAGAAATATAAACCATTGTATAAATATTTGAATTTTATATAGTACAAATTTGTATTATATCTATACGTTTTTTCGATTTATTGTCGGGAGCGAAGCGGAGGACTCGTACTTTTATGCGCCTTCACCGAAATTACGTTTTTGATGCATTTCCTATGAAAGAATCAGAAACGTAGCTTTGGCGTTTTCTGGATATAACCCCGCGTGCCCCATGTTTGTACATACTTTTGTACAAAAAATGCCGCGTACGTGTAATGTGATGATTAGTCGCTCCGGTTTCTGGTTCCTAATATTCTGTTTAATTTGGGTAGAAAGAATTATTGTTTCTATTTATGATTGTTGTACAAAATTTAAATCTACTTAATGATAATTTAGTATATATATAGTTATTGTAAATTTTGAAAATATATTTTTGTTATATTTAATAAAAATTTTTAGATTATAATTAAATTTATATTCGTAATGTGTAATACATATCTTTATAAAAAACCAAAATTTCACGTATACATTTTTTATATAAGTCGCATGCTGTACTTAATAGCTACGCAAAAGTATTAGTGGATTTGATCTTCGCTGAGTTTTGACCTTCTCTGAGGTTTTGCCTTTCGCCGGGGAGTTTCGTCTTTCGCCATTTGCCCAAAATGGTTTCGCCTAACAACACTATTAGCACCTATAGTAATACTAATTTCTAATTTCTCTGGTATTAATATTTATCTGTAAATTTCAAATTATTAGAAATCAGAGATTTGTATTATACGTATGATAAATTATTTTGTTAATCAATTAGATTTTTTTTTTTTACTTTTCACAAATTGTTGTTATTGGAATTGTCAACATTGAAATCATCATTTATTGGTGCCTTAGTTGGTACTGGTACAATTTCGTCATTTTGTGAAGAGTTCAGCTTTCGTTACTTGCCATTAGTAAATATTTTCACTACGATTTTATCATTTTTAGTACAATTATCATTAGAGATATTTCATTGTGTTCAACATAGTGGCTTTATTAATTTTTGATGTTTTACTATCAGAATAAGGAATTTGGGGCCACAATCTAAACTGTTGAAATTAAGAGACATAAATTTGATAATCAAGAGAGAATTGTATAACTTATTTATGAGACACAATATGATAGTTAAACAAGGTCGTGGTACTCTAATCTGTGCGACAAAATTATTTTTCAAATCTATTTGAGTATAAATATTAAGCTTGAGATCCACTCCGGAGCTAGTATTCTTTCTGTTATACGTATTCCGACTAAAATGCATATATATTTCTGGGTTTACGTTTTTTTACGTAGTGACTTTAGGCCTTACTGTTCCATGTCCCAGAGATCACTCTCTTAATATAATAATACCCGAAATTTCTAAGTAATTTTACTCATATGATATATATTTACGTACAGTGTAACACAATCATTTTTATTTTTGTCGATAATCATTCGCGATTACTAGCAAAGATCCTATACAATCCTATACTAAATAATTCATATCTCTAATCGGATATAATTATAAACAGAAAGATAAGATATTAATTATTCGCTGATCATAATTATTTCTAATGTTACAATAATTGCGATGGTCACCTTATGACGCATATTTTTGAATTTGAGAAAAATTAAATTACTAGTGGAAGGACATAGGCAGAAGTTCGTCTGATTGGCTAATAAATTCAATTTAATTTTACATTATTTATACAGTTTAGAATACTTTTT